GAAAATGATAATACCACCTACAAAGGAACATCAATACACTGCGTCCCATAATTATAACTCCACCCAAGAATTTCCCAAAATCTCACAAATTTAGATGTTTTAGAAAAAGACTCCAATGTGGCAGTGTGACAAATACAGGTACGAAATCGCCTGTAAACATCAACTTCCAACTCGAGATCGTAATAAAAACAAAAAAAAAAAAAAAAAAATCCCAGGAAATTTTTTCTAATAATTTTTTGTTCAGAAAGGCCACTTGGCCAACGTCCCAAAATTATAACTCCACCTCATGTTTTTCTATTATTTTTCACTTCCGTTTCGCCAAACTTTTTTAATGTGCTAACATCCTACTTCTCAAGGGGACAGTATGATAGAAAATGCTGTCTGACTTTTTAAAAGGTCAGGTCGTCGCAAAAACTACTAATTAGGCAATCGCACAAGATTTTGACCAAATTCACGAGGAGCTCGAGAATTTTTTCAGGGATTTTACATGATATGGAGTTGAGAAGAGCTCCAAAGGATCTCCCCTTGCTTTTCGGTAGAAACAAAGGCCGTGTCACAGAAGAAACATCCTTTTTTATGAAGCCGTGCTCTGCCATCAAATCTTCTTCGGAACTTAATGGCTCAACGGAACAATGTTTTTTGCTTGCGAATAAGTCCCAAGTTGATTCTCGAGTGGAAAACGTGGAAGGCATCATCTGTGGCAGGAAACCATGGCGAAAATTGAGCCCATTTTCACAGAAAGATGCAACGGAGCCGACTGGAGTAAGGTTCGCTTTTGCTCGATATGTTTTAGCATTTGTTTGTTTTTCTTTTCGTGCTTTTCTCATCCTTAGTAGCTTTTCTCTTCGCGAAGCACTACCAGGAGAAAGAAAATGCCGAAGAGAAAGACAGACAATCAGTAATGAATCGCAAGTAAGAGCGAACCTTACTACAGTCGGCTCGGATGCACCTTTCCGGAAAACTCAGCAAGAATTCCGCCATGGTTTCTTACCACAGATGATGCCTTCCACGTTTTCCACTCGAGAATCAACTTGGGACTTATTCGCAAGCAAAAAACATTGTTCCGTTGAGCCATTAAGTTCCGAAGAAGATTTGATGGCAGAGCACGGCTTCATAAAAAAGGATGTTTCTTCTGTGACACGGCCTTTGTTTCTACCGAAAAGCAAGGGGAGATCCTTTGGAGCTCTTCTCAACTCCATATCATGTAAATCCCTGAAAAAAATTCTCGAGCTCCTCGTAAATTTGGTCAAAATCTTGTGCGATTGCCTAATTAGTAGTTTTTGCGACGACCTGACCTTTTAAAAAGTCAGACAGCATTTTCTATCATACTGTCCCCTTGAGAAGTAGGATGTTAGCACATTAAAAAAGTTTGGCGAAACGGAAGTGAAAAATAATAGAAAAACATGAGGTGGAGTTATAATTTTGGGACGTTGGCCAAGTGGCCTTTTGAACAAAAATTATTAGAAAAAATTCCTGGGATCCCAAGTTGGAAGGTGACCCGGCTTGGCGCCTTTTCTACCTGTATTTAAACCACATTTGACATGGAGTTTTTCTAAAACCTCTAAATTTGGAGATTTGGCAAATCTTGGTGGAGTTTATAATTTTGGACCAGCTGTACTTCTATTGGCGTTAGCAAGAAGTTGTAATAGAATATGGTCGCGGTACAGTAGAACAAAAAGATGATAAAAAACTCAATTCAAAAATGTGAATCTGCCTTTTGCAAGACTATGGACAACCTAAATATTTCAATAAGCTCCTGCAGGCTTCTCCAGTCCACAATACAGAAAGTTGCCATCCGCATCTGGACAGAAGATAATCTGGAGATTAGGAACCAAGGAAGACAGAAATAAGGAGCGATTGGTCAAGATGAGATGACAATCGAGATACTTTGAACACACGGAATAAGCTGGTCACTCAAGGCTGTTGAGCCCTGTGTGAACGAGGATATTCGTCCGCATCTTCAAACAAAAGGTGTTCTAGCTACCGTGGAATCAAGTTGGTTGCATGCTATGGAGTTGTGCGAGCGGACGGTCGACTTCAAGTGAGCGAGCTGGTTTCGATCTAGCAGGAGTAGTTTAATTCATGTACAACACAGTTCACTGCGAATGTCATCTTTATTGACAGAACAGTGATGGAGAAGTATCGAGAATGGCGCCGACCTTGCTATCTGACCTTTTTGATCTGGAGAAAACACGCTACAATCCACCCCGACAAGGGCTTTGGAGCGCGCTATGAAAAAGTAGCGTCTAATCCTTTCTTACAAGCTCTTCACTATCAGGGACAGATGACCTGCCCTCAAACAGGAAGTCAACAAGTAGACAGAGATCTTCGATTGTTCAGGTTACATGAATGTTCGTCGCTATTTTAGCCCTTCTTCCTGCAAAAAGGCTCCATTGCCCTAACGGCTCCGAAATGTTAAAGCAACAGTTCAGGGAGGGTCCGAAAATTTCAATGCCACTACTACTGAGGGATACACGAGCCCTAGTGAAGAACATATGCAGTGGAAATAATAAACGAACTTACCTCAGAAACTCAAAAACAGGGTGGAAAGTCCCTCAAACATGGGTGTTCTTGGGGATTTCCCCAATCCCGCCCCCTTGCCGGCCGTCATTGGACGCGTCGGCAATCGTGCTCGTTTTGGGACCACAGGGAAAATTGATTGAAAAATGGAGCGCGTTTACAGCGGGCACGTTCAGACAACTCGTCCAACGTGCGTCTTTATCCATTGCTGAGCGGCAGAGGGAGAGTACCTGTCTAAGACCCTCCCCGACGTTTTTTTCCAGTTTTTCATACATTAATCGTCTGGTTTTCATCTACAACTTCATTATTGGTGGTTTTTTCCCGCGAAACCGTTCCTGAACTGTTGCTTTAAGGTTCCACTAATGGCTCGGGGCCCACCGCCATTACATGGCACACATGTACAGCATGGTACAGCACTCTGTCGAAACAACTCCTGCACGGCAGAGGCGTGATGCTTTGCATTGTTGTCTTCCAAAAAGACAAAGCCAATGCAGTTTAAGTGCCATGCCTATGGGTTTACATTTCTGATAGCCTAGGTGTACACGTCTACACTAATCTCTTCCTAAATCCTGTGATGATTTCTACCAATATTCATCTTACAAGGGAAGTCTTTCAGGGCAAGGTGCGCTTTTTCAAAACGGTTTTGTGCATATTGTAGGGACGCATGTAGGGAACGCAAAACCATGTTTCATTTTCGCTGAACGGTTATAGCAGTACCAAAAAGAAGCATAAGGTACTGTTAAGGGTTCGATCCCCGTGGCGACTAAATTTTGCATTTGGGTTGGCGCCTACGGTTTGGTGCCAAATCGCGCTAAATATCAAAATCAGATGTCAAATTCATCGTCAGGACCATTTTGAAGCCAACAAGTGGCCGCCAACCTTGATTGCAAAATTTAGTCGCCGCGGGGATTGAACCATCAAGAGTATTATTTCACCACTTTTTTGGTACTACTAAAACCGTTCAGCGAAAACGAAACATGGTTTTGTGGTCCATACATGCGTCCTACAACATGTACTAAACCGTTTCCAAAAAGCGCACCTTGCCCTAAAAGACCTCCCTTGTTGGTGGGATAAGTCCAATCAGGGTTTCCCAACCAGTGAAATGTGAAGAATCACATAGGTTATCGCAGCTATGCCATATAGGAAATTTACATAGTTTTGAGAGATAGTGGCTCACATTCTGGATCATAGCAAAGATGCGCGTAAAATGAGCAGCCAGTTTCCCGTTAAACCCTCCCTATTTCGGGACGTTTGTCTATCAAATCGAGTTTTCTTTTATGTTCCACTTCAGCAGGATCTGTGACCATGAGTTGTAGGTGTGTTTGGAGACAATTTGATATGTTGAAGATTACAGGTGATATCAGGTGAGCAACACCACTTGCGGCGAGCATCACGGATTCTCGTAGCGGTCTCCACCACACTGATACTTCCCTCCTAGAGGTCTTCCTTCATTACCTGTCTGTAGCTACGCCAACTCGACAGTATATTGATAGTTGCATGCACCTCGTGCTGTACCCGTTGTTGCGTCAGTCCAGGAGTTCCCAAACGGAAATTGCTTTTGGCAACTTTCGGGTTCTGCTTTCTTAACACTATTGCCAGGCTGTATAGCGAGCTTGTGACACATATCTTCCAACTTTGTTTCCGACTATGAAACTCCTGCATAAAAAGAACGAGTGAACTGATCTCATTTAATGACCGTCTTGTTTTTTTTTTGAATTTACGGTTCTCTCCAAACGTCGGAAAGGAACCTTGCGCAAAGCGGACGATGGTTTGACTTTGCGCGAAACTTGGTTTATCGTCATCCATCGGTCGGTCAGTATCGCGCACGCAGAATCTGTTGACGTCCAGGTCGTCGGGGTTTAGTTTGATCGCTTTTGAACGCACGCTTTTTCCTACATTCTTCGTTGGATTGTATGTATGTGTGAAAGTATCCGAAGGTGCTCTAACGTCTCGCACTGATGAGCTGGTATTTGTGTGCCTCGGCGGAGGATTTCATACAATGCGAGAAGGCTCTTGGTATAAGAAGCAGAGGAAAATATGCGTCGTTTGGCGAATTTTTATTGGGTCTTATGATTGACTGATAGAGGGGCTTGCTCAATTGACACTTCTTTCATTGAAACCTGTTTTTCTTTGTACACCTTCCAAACGTTTGGAGCGGAAGCGGTGTAGCGGCAAATGGCACGCGAGCGGTCCGGGGATCAAATCCTGGGTCGTGAGTCGCCCGGGCCAACCAAGCCTTCCATCCCTCCGGGGTCGGTTAATTGGTACCAGACTTGTCTGGGAGGATAAAAACACTGACTTGTACATCGGCTGGCCCCCGCAAGTCATTGTATAGGCCACATCGCATTCAAACGCCACTACGAATGTACAAATGGAAGTAGAATGCGTGCCGCATCCCAAAAGGGATTGATCAACGGCAAATGCTTTATCCTTTACCAACCCTTTTTTCTGGTACTTTTTAGGAACAGCCAGTCGCGATCATGATGTCACGAGTTGCATTCTTGACACAAATGCCTTATTTGGCAAACGTGAATCAGGGTGCTCTGTATGACTGGAGTGTTCCATTCGCTTTTTTAAGAACTTCAGGACAGTCTCATTGGTAGACTATCGCCTGTCCTTTGTTATGGAAGTGGAGTCGCAGGTCGATGACATGCCCATCGACAAGTTGTGCTTTCCCAGTCTGTCGAGTATTTCTCGAAGTTTATGGAAGTTTACTGTCATCGCTGTCACGTTACCGATGTGACTGTTGCATTCTTATTTTTTAGTTCCGATCTCCTCTTTAATCCCAATCTTCACGGTAATTGGTCAGCTGCTCGAGCGTGTGGGAAAGCGAGAAAATTCCTCTCGTGTGTAGAGATTCTAAGTTTACTCCACTCCTCTAATATACCAAAAAAGGTGTGGCTATTATACAGTTATAGAGGCCTATTGTCAATTGTGGTACTTCAGAAATCAAAGCATGAATGCCGAGAACTTGTTGATAGGTGAAAGTCCAAGTATCTTTCAAGGCACAACCCTGCCAGAACTCGGGTGAGCGATTCCTTTCTGCCTGTAGGGTATCCGCCTAGAGGACCATCACAGATGTGTCACTCCATACGTGGAAATCGCACGGCAAGGGTGCTAGGCCTTGCCTCGCCCAGTTTCGGCTGCTTCAATTTTTTCCGTCCGCAACAAGCTGTTGTCTTCCCCCTCTCATCTCTTGCGCTCTATCGCCTCTTACTCATTTCTCAGCGCCCGCTTCTTATTGCCTTATCACAGTCACATTGTGAAGGTGAACAAGCTCCTAAAGGGTGATGCTTCAAAAGAATCGTTGCCCATTGGAAATGAAAGCAGAGGTGGTAGAGTGTGCACTGATCACGAAAGGAATTTTTCTTAACTGCCGCCCATTTTGCACCAATACTTGTATATTCGTTTGCAAGAACCTCCTCAGTTTGCTTTTGGCATGTCTTTCAAACACTTCTCGAATATTGCCTTGAATGAGTACAATTCAGAGATATCAGTATTGGACCAGTGAACGAAAACGATTCTTCAATTTCTATTCTTCATTGCAGGAGTACATCATGGTACGATTTGGACACCAGAATTATGCGAGGGTTTGTGACATTGAAGCCCAACTCGTTCCCTCCAGAAGTTGCCATTCTCAGCACAAGCAATGAAGGTTGGATCATTGCAAGCACTGTTCGAATTTTTTGTTTTGCCCTCTATTTCGGAAAACGAGAAGAGCGTCGAGTGCAGACTACACACCACAAGTGACGACGGCCGAAAAAAAGTGGCTTTTTTTTTCTTGGCCGTCGTAACTTGTGGTGTGTGGTCTGCACTCGACGCTCTTCTTGATTTCCGAGAATAGAAGATACTTTCAATCCATTCCATTGTAGAATGTTTTCTTTTTCAGGATTAAATATGATCGAGTTGGGTACACTGAAACATCACGTTTTGACACTCAATATTTCCTACATGCAAGTTCACCCAACTATGGACAGCGCCATTCTGCCGTTAGGAGTGAGTTTATCAAACTCAAAGCTAGTAGCTGGCAGGAGTTTACATGACATTATGTAACAATTTTCCAAAAAAGAAAACCTTAGAAAGTATAATTTTTTCAAGCGCTAAAAAATTTGGGGAGCTTCCTGCTTTCTCTACCTCTACATGTCTTTCTACATGATTATTTATGCTCCTCAATGATTCGCATGCATGATTTTAGTGATGTGTGGCTTGTTTTATTTGAAATTACGGTGCTGGTGTCCTCAGGGAGGCGTCTCTACACCGAGATCTTAATGCTTTTGGAACACTCTTATATTACAAACGTTTATGTACCACAGCGCTACCACATTTGGGAGAACGCGATTAGCAAAACTAATAGTGACCTAAATTCGAATAGAATATCGATCTACAGGGTGGCTACTAAATATTGGCGCATGGTTTATTGACCATATTTTTAAAAGAGAAGCTATTACATCTTCAGAAGTTTATTTTATATACAATAAAACATAACAATGCATTACTAAAGAAGGTGCTCGAAATGGCCTCCTTCGGCAGCGATACAGGCTTCAAGTCTCTTCTCAACTGACATCACCGTGGGCCGCAAGTAGCTGACGTCGGCGTGACGCGAGAAGATCTTCACACTGGAAGTGGCGCACAATTCTCAAAACGACAGGCAATTGTTGGATCTGGCTAGCAGACATTCTGCTCGACCTTGTGTGCACACAAGGAGCCGATTTCCAAATCTGTCATGGTTTGGGCAGGAATTACTTCTGAAACCATGACACCGCTTGTCTTTGTGGACAAATCCGTCAAAATTAACGCCCAGATCTACCAGGAAACAATTTTACGTGATGTGCTCCTTCCATGGACTGTTTCGCGAAATGTCACTGCATTCTTCAGCAAGACGGGCGCCTCCCATGCCGCAAAATCTACGCTGGAGTTCTGTGACCGTCATTTTCCAGGTTACTGGTCACAAAATGTTTGGCCATCTAAGTCGCCCGATTTGAACCAATTGATTTGGCGGTGTGGGGCTTCTTGCAGCAGAAGATGCCTTCTGAGCAACGTCGAAGTTTGGACTCCTTGAAGGCTTCCTTGGAGGAGGCGTGGAAGGAGCTCGACGTCAGCTACTTGCGGCCCACAGTGATGTCAGTTGAGAAGAGACTTGAAGCCTGTATCGCTGCCGAAGGAGGCCATCTCGAGCACTTTCTTTGTAATGTGCTGCTATGTTTTATTGTATATAAAAATAAAATTCTACAGATATAATAGCTTCTCTTTTCAAAAAATCACCTGTATCACCTGTCGTCCCGTTGATCATCGAATTGCTCGAGCGGGCGCCAGCAACGTCTCCATTCGTCCCTGTCGCGTGCAAGAGTTGTCCAGTGGACCCTCCTCGCTCGAGGGACACGGACCGATGAAGGTCGTCCTTCCATTCCTTCGTTCAAGCCTTTGTGAGAAGTCTGACCCACCTTGGACCAGCGTCCGGTCCAGGTGTTTACGTTTTTGAAACGTCGCCGAGCGTATCCAGATCGTAACCACCTGGTCCAACGTCATCCGCAAAACGCTATGACACCTCGGTCCCGGCCTACCTACTTGAATTCCCTGCGAAAAAGGCAGCGTCCGCTATGTTCGTTATTCGTGTGGCCATGGTTCGGTCACATCCACGATCCCCGGCGTCGTGCACTGTTGCCGTTGGTATGGTATTGCCCCTTAGCACGCCCTCCCTTCGATCACCGCCCGCGTTGATGCACGCTGACGACGAGCATGCCTCGTCCTTCCTGGCGCAAGCCAAGCTCAAGCAGCGTAAGGTTAAGGCACGTAAGGACACGCGAATCGAAGACAGAGGTGGGCACAGAGCCGGATTTCTGACTCTCTTCACCACCTCGAATGTCTTCCTTGTACGCTTCTCCAACCGCTCGTTCCTCCTGCTCAACTCGGCATTCGTCAGAAAAAAGGGAAGGTGTGGCGGCCCGTCCCGACCCCACTCCCATGTCTTCCCATTCCAGTTGACGCATGACGTTCTCGAGAGCGGCGCTGAAGAGTTTGGGCGAGATGGTGTCGCCCTGTCGAACCCCTCTCTTGACGTCGATGATGACCTCCTTGTAGAATGGTGAGATTCTGGTCGTAAAGTTGCTGTAGAGCTCACGAAGAATCTTGATGTACTGAGTAGGGACGCCCTGGTTGCCCAAGGCTTCGATGACCGCTTCTGTCTCCACAGAGTCGAAGGCCTTCTTCAAGTCGATGAACGTGAGACAAAGCGGCATCTTGTACTCTCGTGAAACTTCAATGAGTCTTGTAACCGTGTGGATATGGTCGATCGTGCTGAACCCTCTTCGAAACCCTGCTTGCTCGCATGGCTGTCCTTCATCTAGTATTCTGCCGATCCTGTTAAGGATGACTCGAGTGAATAGCTTGTAGATTACAGACAGCAGGCAGATTGGGCGATAGTTGCCAATGTCGTCCAAGTCTCCCTTCTTGTACAGCAACACGGTCCTGCTGGTTTTCCACGGAGTGGGTACCTTGCATTCCGACAGGTAGCGCGTGAAGAGTCGAGCCAGAGTTCTGATGATAACTGGCGGTGCGTTCTTCAGATGTTCCGGTTTAACCCTGTCGAGAAGAACTCTGGTGCTGTAATGGAGCGATTCATCGCTCGCCCCATGAGTGTAACAAGAGAAGTGAAGTGATCCCAGTTGATGACTGTCCTGGGGCTTCGCTTCCTGAACTTCGAGGCTCTCTCAACACGCATCGAAAAGTGGAACTTTGCGCGGAGGAGACGATGGTCCGATCCCGTGTAGAACTTCGGAACAACAGCGACGTCGGTCAGGCAACAGATTGAAGATGATGTGGTCTATCTCGTTATGGAACTGTCCATCAGGTGACTCCCAAGTCCAACGAAGGTGAGAGGGCTTCTGGAACTGCGAGTTACCATGGATGGTGTTGGTCGACATGATAAACTCAGACAGTCTTTCGCCCTGCTCATTCCAATCCATTCCGTGAGTACCGATGTGAAGTTCTTCAGCCGTTCTTCTCGGGCCAATCTTGGCGTTGAAGTCGCCGACGATGACCTTGAAGAAGGTATGGTCTTCCTTGTAGAACTTCTCCCAATTCCATATAAAATGCTTCGTGTTCCTCCCTAGCTCGAGTGTGCGGTAGCATACAAGATTGCAAGCAGTTGATCCACATCTTCTCAATCTCAAACGTCCGATTCGGGTCGTAAGGCTTTCGTACGAATCGATGTTTATGGCCAAGTGCGTGTTGACGAGGACACCCACACCGCCAACGCCTCTGCTGTCGCATGTTCCAAGGAACAGTTCTTCTCCAGTATCGAAAACGGCGTGTAGCGGGCGGTGCCTTCTCGTCTCGGTCAGTCCGATGACGTCGTACTTGATCTTCCTTGATTGCATCATCAGAAACAAGATGAGCAATATGATCTTTGCCGCCGCTCTGACTAATTCGTCCATCCCATATCTTTTCAAGTCCCTTAAAAAATTCCTGAGCTCGGCGTGAGTTTGGTCCACATCTGACGCGACTGTTTCGTTCAACAGTTTTTGCGATGACCCCCTTTTCAATGTCCGACACAGCAGTTCTTTATCTCTCTGTCCCTTAAAGAAACAATGTGTCACCACAATAAAAAAAGTTGGAACAGATGTGAAAAGTTATCGAAAAACATGAGGTGGAATTATAATTTTGTTCCGTAACTTCGTCCAAGTGGCCTTTTCACAAAAATTACCAGGAAAAATTCCTGTGACCTTAAGTTGGAAGTTTAGTTTCATAGACAATTTGCATTTATCTAGCACCTTCACATTAACAGACTTAAACTAAAACCTTTGACTTGAGATTTTAGGCGAATTCTAAGGGAATTTACCCATTATGGGACGCTCGCCAGTATATAAACCACACCATTCGGTCAACGCCAAACCGCTATGCGTCACCGGATGCTGTGAGCGTATCTATGACGCAATATGCAAAAAGATGACACCAAGGATAGCGCATGCGTGAAAAAACAAACTACTGAACGAGGCACAATCGCTGCATCATCGTCACGACGGGCTCAAGTGTGCTACGATTCGCTACACGCTGTCGTCCAAACGGCGTTCATAGCTACACCTAAGTAAGAGGCGCTATATCAAAATTTTCATTGAATGGATCGGTACGAAAGACTCATATGCATATCTATATTTCTTATCACATGCTTTATTTCAGGCTACACGGCGATTCCGGAGAGTTGGTGCACTGCTTGAAATGACTGTAGCAAAGCTATTCTCAAATAATAAGGTGAGCCAGAGACAACAGATCCAATTTCTGCATGCAAGTCTTAGCATTATGCAAGATAGGGACAGAGAGGAGCGATCAGGAGATTCCGCTGGCAAGCGGGCAGGAGCAAGCACTTTAGTACCGCATACAAGCGAGATGCTACATGAATCGTAAGCCCCGGTGACTAGCAGGTATAACGAAGATCCGTAGTGATATTGAACTTTCGAAAGCCATCTGCGATTAAAACACGAAGACATACGTGCGCATATCCGCGCACGGGTGTGTACAAATCCATGGTGCGTGGATTGACGCCTCTTGCTTCAACATTTCCAAACTAATGAGCTTTAAGAAAGTGGTCGTCGTTCGAGAGTTGAAAATATGTATGTGCACACGAAAAGTATTATATTAGGTCGGAAAGAAAGTTTTGAACCACATAGTATGCGGTGTTTCTGGATTTCTACCGAATGCTCTGGAATCGTTCGTGGGTGATATATAAAAGAAGCGGATTGTGCTGCGTACGGTGTTCCAATCGGCTGCTGCAATAATGTCATCGCACAAAACCAGCTTCTCCCGCGAGACCATCCGAGAGCTCATCCTGTGCGAACTTCGCATGGAGACCCACGAGAGACTCCAAAATCAGTGCCGTGATAGTCTAGCCGGCAAGATCTTCACGTAGCTGGTTTGACTAGAGGCCTGAATGCTCTCGCAGACGGAGACGATCGCTTTGACGGCTACTGTCCACCGAGGTCCACGCTGTAATCGAGGATGTTCCGAGGAACTCAGACAGACGTAGCAGAGCGTATTGAGCGCTTTCACATACACGTCCTATAGACTTCAGAAATTAGATAGTCTTGGAAATGTGGTCAATGGGTTCGCACAATTTCAATGGCAGGACATCTGAACATTCATCTCTCGTCCAGAGGCGATAGGCTACGACATATGGGCGCTGCCAAAGACAAGTGGATTTGCTTTTTTAACCATACGCGCGATCACCAATGGCTCGGATTAGGCAAACTAGAGTTCCATTCCCTTGATTCGACATTCTTGGGAAAATGGTGATGCTGTCCAGTTTTTAAAATTGTGACGGCATTATTTATGGGTGATGTTCTGTCTGCAGGATCGACGATGACAAGCGCTACCCAGTGCTAGCTGCTCGAAACGGTTGCGAAAAAACTACGAAAAACAGTGACAACTCAGTTTGTTTCACGCCGCGCGCCACGCGTGTCTTCTCTATAACGTCGGGGATTCACAAAGTAGGCTGGACCGCGGCTACCCATCTGCCGTATTCGCCTAAGCTGTCCATACACGCCTTTCATCATTCCTGCTCGCTCGCTCATCACCTTGATAACAAAAAGCTTGACAACGAAAAGGACCGCAAGCAGGGTCAACCGTCGCGTTGGACCGATTTCTAAAATTTTACGACCCCCCCCCCTCCTGGAGAGCCTGGATACGACCCCCCCCTAACACCTTGTCTATGTATGTACAATTTATTGAACATTTGAAACACTGAATATGAAACAAGTGGAATCATGAGCAGTCGTCATTCAGCCATCACTATCAAGCAGAAGTGGCGGCAGGATTGGAGAACACCTTGCAGTATTGATCGGGCACTTGTGATTTCCGTGACCCGTCGCGTGAATCGCGCAAATCTCGCAAATCGCGGATAGCAGCGAAAGCGAAAGACAATGAAATGGTAGAAGTTACAAATTCCAGTTATGACAGAGCACACAACGTGCTTAATTCAAACGTTGAAGATTCCCGCCTCGGCATGGGGGCGCGGAGTTGGCATTGGCGCGCACAATTTTCCCCTCGTCCGAGCGCCCGACAGATTCAAGCGGACTACTAATGTTCAAATGAAATTATTTCAGGCTAACGTCAACATTTTTCAGAACTCGAAGTGGATTTGTAATCTAGGGGACTGCTGCTTTCAGAACACTACCTTTTTTGGCAGTATCTTCAACATTGGGTTAGTTATGGGATAGAAAAATAGAAATTCACAGAAATGCGCGCACTTCCTACTTTGAAAGGTTGTAATGTTCTTCAGACATGGATTTGTGAGAGGTGATATTAGAAATTCTGAAAGTTCAGATTGCTTTCTTTCTAAAAAGTACTTGAAGTTCTGCAAAGTCTTTTTTCTTCAAAAAAAATCGCTCACCCGTTAGACTTTTTATTCAGAGGGGTTTTTTGGCTTTCAATTACTATAACTTTCTTCAAATTCCACCTTTTGCAATTATTGTCCCCCTGGGTTGGAGAAGAAAGTTAGAGCTTTCCAACGTGTACTTGAACTTCCTTCAAAGTTGACGGAGTCAAAAAATCGCCCCGTTGGACCGTTTTGGGGAAATCGCGGACCGATTTTTTGGAGCGCTGGTTTTTTGGCTTTCAAATTGTTATAACTTTCTTCAGATTGAACTTTTTGCAGTTCTTGTCCCCCTGGATTGGAGTAGAAGGTTGAAGCTTTCCAACTTATGCTTTAGCTCCTTCCAAAGTTGAAGGAGTCAAAAATCGCCCCGTTGGACCGTTTTTTTTTCATGATTTCAGAAGCTACTCCCCTGAAAACACGAGTTTTCCGCACTCGAACACTCACACCTCTCTTCATACCAATTTTATTTGGAAGTAATGATAATATAACACCGCACAAGCATTGCGCTTTATGAAAGATACTGAACCCTTTTCTAGAAAAATGTAAATACTTAAATTTTTTCTCCAAACGCCTCTGGTAAACCGTCAGTAGTCAGTCTACCCTACTCGTCACTTTTTTTACGAAGTTAAGTCTAGTTTAAGACATTGGTTATCCACGAGAGCATATTTGTGTACGTAAACAGTGAAATATGGACACTTCCGCAGTAGGATCTTCTCCTCTGTGCGCCATGCACTCGTTCGTAGGTTGATAGTTGGAGAAGCCCTCGACATTTATACCCCTCCACTTTCTATCGCGAAAGCAAACGTTTCAATTCTGATCATTTGATGGTCTGAGTCTGAGGAACAGAGCGAGAAAACCTGAAAAATATATACTTTATTACGTTTTTATTATACGAAGACCACCACTCCTTACCTACTCCATGTACACGCTGCGTATTGGCGACGAACTCCGCCATTACGACCCCCCCTCTTTTTCACCCTCAATATACGCCCCCCCCCCACCGCCTCGTTGGACTTTGTCCAACGGGCGGTTGACCCTGACCACAGGTCTGACTTCCAAATGTTTCTCGACAAAATTCTCTAATTCTATAAATATGGTACCAAAGTATTTCCCGGAGGTTGGCGTATCGTTGTTGAATCTTATAGCCAATATGATAGGGATCTCAGAATAAATAAAGAATAGAAAAATGGATTTCAAATTTTGGCTGTGGTTTAATTCGAAACTTTCTTTCCATCCTATTTGAAGGAGTAATTCACGATAAGAACGAAGGTCAAAGAAGAGAAAAATTACAAAGTTGGGAGACAGGCGGACCTTCTGAGGGTGCTGACTGACGCGCAATTGGCAGCGAAAGATTTGACCTCGGCGATCTAGCATGGCTCACTCTTGGCGCGGTTGGCGGGGTACGCCCACCGACTATCTAATCACTCGCCGCAGGTCTACGTGGCGAGTGATTAGATAGCAGAGAGAGCGTAGTGTTGAAGAGGGCACAGCGATGAGAGTCGCATCAATGCGCAAATCAACCGGGCAAGGAAGGGGTCCCATTTCTCGGGTTTCGGGCCGTTTCAATGGTTTCTTCTTCATCCCTGCTCCACTGACCACCTCTACCCTTATTTCCACTGAGCAAACGTTTCATCGTAAATTCTGCCTTTGACGTGTTATTTATTTATAAGATCGTCTTCAAAAAAAATTTAGTAATTTGAGGAGTAAGAGAGAGAGTAACTTGATGATTCCTGCTCCTCCTACCATGCCGTTCATCCTCAAAGGTAAAGGTCGGGCTCAGGCGCGGTAAAGAATGGAGGTTGTACGTGGCTGCACAATTGCAGCAACTTCCCACCTTGAAAAACCCCGTTAAGGCCCCGGGCGTTCGGTTTCAATCCAGGGCCGCCTGGTCAATCCAGGACCGCCCACCTCCGGAAGTGGTGCGTGGCTGGCATAACGTGTGAAATCAGCTAGGTTGATTGCCGTATCAACCGATAGAACGACTGACATCTCCAGAAAACTTGTTTGTACGTGCCTCTTTCCCAAGCCAGCCTCCTTCACTGCTAGTGGGAAAGAGGGTTTTGTTAACGGCCTTGTCGACGGTTTTTCTCAGTTTTTTCTCCACTGTCGTTCCACTTCGCATCTCTATACTCAGTTTCAATCGCCATAATACCCCCTTATTGAGCCCGACTTTTGCCTTTAAGTTGAAGGAAGTTAAACCCTTGAAAGAGTCAAGTGCAAATTTCATTAAAATTTCATTTTTCCTTCACAGCTGAATCATTTTAGGGATAAACAAGAAGCTGCCAACAATGATGGCTACTTGGTAAATCTACCTCAGCTTTCAAAAATACTTGGGTTAAAACGAAAAATACTCGTTTCAAGTGAAGTAGCTCCACTTCCCCTGCATGACTCGACCAGCAGTTGCGCCCCAATATTACTACGCAACGTAAGCGCAAGCAGAACTGCGCGTTTTCAATGCATTCAAAACGCCATTAGTTTGGTGTCTAGTTTTTTTTTATTTTGCTTTCAACATGATGCCTCGAGATGAGGGGAAACATGGAGAAGTCTCTTGCTCCCAGGATTCGGTCTTTTGTTTCTCTTGAATTATTTTCGTCTTCTAGCTAAGCTTCACCTATTTTGTGAACTTTCCGCTATTCCACTCATTCTACTTGCTGATTTTATTTGTTGCTCGAGTATTTGAAGATATTATGTCAAAGTAAACTTTTTTGAGGCATCTTGGGTTCAAATAGACGCTAGTCTCCCGAAGAAGGGTTGTGTCAAGATCCCTAGGAGAGGCGAGGGCTTAAGAATTTCCAACAACTAGCACCCTGGGGTTGAATTCGATCCGTTGTGGAATTCACACTTTTTGCATTGAAGGCGAAGTTTTCGATAGAGAGAGAGCACTAGAAATCAAGGTAGAGGTGGCTAGTGGTGCAGGGATGAAGAAAAAGAAAACAATCTATAACCCGAGAAATGGGACCAGGCGAGCGAGCATAAAACGTAGCCCAAATCTGGGTCCCGACAAAATCGCGACCGATTTTCTCCGCACATGCAG